CATTTCATGCTATTAAGAGAGTCTCCACCAGCGCTGGTGCATGCTGGAGGCAGGGGAAGGTGGACCAGCCACCAAAGCAGGACACAATGCAGACTCTACAGACATCAGGGTCCCATCGGGCTCAGTTCTTGCTTGAAGAAGCATGTAGGTGTGGCAATCACTGCTGTAGGTTGGATCTCTCAATGGCAATGAGTGGGGTGGGGTGGCTGCGGATCAATAATCATCACCCTTTGGTTGCTGTAAATCAAGGCTTGAATCTCTGACAGGCTGCAGAAGCCAGGATGAGGCACAGAAATACATTGCCTACCGTATTCCCTCTCTCTCATTTCTGCATTGCATTGACCTAAATAAGAATCTTGAGTTAGATTTGGTTTATTTCTGGTGGAAGGAGGGTTGCTGCAAGGCTGAAGAAACGAGGCTCTCGTGGGCAGACCACAGTGGTTCTGTCCTCGCAGACACCATGCAGGCAAAGGAGCAAGTGATGGGTGGAGAATTAACAGTGTTTGGCAGCAGGGCCATAGGGCAGCCTGGCTCACACAGAGAGCTGGAGAGGCAACTGAGGACAGCCTATGTGTTAAAGGAGAAAGGCTGAGTGACAGCAAGGCAGAGAGCCAGTCCAGAGGTGTCCATTCAGTTGGTTATTAAAATCCAATGGGACCACCACAGTGTGTGTTTATTAACACTCTGATCTTTGCTCCAGTTTTTGCCACGTCCAGCCTTCCTTTCTCCCCTCATTGAGAAATAGTAAGTTACTCAAGGCCAGCACCACCTCCTGAGTTTGGAAAGAACCTGATGCCAAAAATGACCTGAGTGGGCAACTTCAGAGAGCTCAGTCTAGGAGAGGGTGCATCTGAGGAGTAGTTTCGCTTGCAGAGGCCACCTTGTCTTCCTTGCACAAGAGAAGCCTGCAGAGCGCTCTGCTCCTACGTCAGGAATCGGTTCTGTGCGAAGAGGTAGCATCGGACAAATTAGATGTTTGTAATCACAGCTGTATGGCTTCCTCAGACAGGGCAGAGTAAACAGCTATTACTGACTCTTGTTACACTGCCATTGTGAAGAAGTAGCAGTGCTCGCTACTTGTTTGTAACTCCCAGAAAGACAGCCTATTGGTTTTGAAAGGATAGTAGTGCTGGGATCATGGCACTCACACTTACAAAAGCAAACCTGAGATAATGGAGGACTCATAACCAGATATTCCCCAAACTGGAGGGCATGCCTTTGTTTTCCAGGTATTCCCAAACAGAAGTGAGGCTGTGCATGCCAATGCATTTTAATGAATTTTGACAAGGTTGCAAGAGTCCCTTTGTTGCTTGTCTGCTTCATCCTTGCTAACAGATACGAATGGAGCTTTCCCATGCTTAGCCATAACAGCCTCCAGCCAGCTTAAGTGTGTGTGTTCTGTGTTTCTAGAATATTTCTATTCGCTTCTCAGGTATTCAATTTGAGCTGCCCAATGTACTAATCAGCAGAGAAAGGAAAATAACATATTTTGGTGGTCTTCTCGTTTCTGTTGATTTTGTCAAATAGCATAACCTATGGGCTTTGAAGACATGGTCTTGGGATGTCTGAGAGTACTGGCTGAATGATCTGGTACAAGCAGCTTCTTGAATTAATTACATCAAAAGCTCCTGGTGCTTAAAGTTGTAGTGTCTCACTGATGATCTTCTACCACTGTTGTTGTTAGCATATCTGAGCCAGCCAGCGTCCCTGTGACATGGAACTGCATTACTGTCCCCTGCAGTGGTCAGGGCTGCCAGAGCAGCACAATCATGGGAGCAGTTGCTGGGAGCTGGGGAGGAAAATACTGGCTCCTCGCAGACAGCACTAGCACAGGGCGTGCTGTGTGGAGTCACAACTGCCTGTGTTTCAGTGGGAATACTGAAACAAACCTCCCAGCCAGCCCAGGAAAAGGTTTCTGCATGTACCTGCTTACTTCATGCTTATGTGCCTGGTGAAATACTGTGGTCTACTTTTCTCATTTGTGATCTGTTTGAAGCAGAGGGCTCATGATGCACAGGCATTCCTTCTAACCAAAATTATTCTATGATTTCTTTAGTTGCTTTAAGGACGGTGTCTTTATTTCTCAAATTTGGGGCTGTAGTCAAATCTAGCAATGCTACTAAATTGTGAGGAGTTATACCTGCCTGCACCTGGGGAAATTAGTGTTCCAGATTTTACAGTCCTTGTGCAAATATTCACCTGGGAAACAGAACTCTTGTGTTTCAAGGGAACACGACACATCAGCTAACTTCATTGCCTCTCTTACGGCCAGGCTTCTTGCGTGGGCTAAGCAACAACATCCTATTTAAAAACCTATTTAAAGCCCCAGTTTTGGAATGCCCATGCCATCTGAAAGCTATGGCCTTACTTTATCTGTTTATATCTAGTAATAGTCTTGGGGAAATGGAGTTTTGTTTTCCCATCACATTTATTCCCCAGTGCAACAGTTAAAAAGCTGTTTTTCAAAGTGTTTAGAAAGCCCAAATATTTCCCCAGTAACTCAGCGCATAGGAATGTTCTGTGGCAGAAGCAGCACTGGCAAGGACATGCATGCCAGCATGTCAGCTGGCCAAGTGTGGGAGATCCCCCACCACTTCCTGCCTGAAGGTTCCCAGGGTGCAACTTGGGAACATGCTGTTTATTTTGGATGTGTGAAACCCCTGTACAGATTCTCTATACGTGTCTGGGTTTAAATATGTGTAGTTATACTCTACCAACATGTTTCAGCCTACACAGGGCAACATCTGTTGAAACATGCAACTCTGGCTTAGTTTTAGCACAGAAAATGAAGGAAAACAATTTCATCCATCATTAGACCAACACTTGGGAGAAGATTTAGGCCTTGTTCCATTTCCTGAAGCTAAGCAAATTTTGGCCTCATCAGCCTAGAGGAATAATCAAATCTCTGATGCTTCAGCTGTCTCTGGCTGCGCTGTGAAGGCAGTGTCTCACAGACCAGCGACACAAACCACATGTAGCACTGTGACCGAGGAGGGCTGTGGGGTAACCTCTGAACAGCGGCTGAAAGCAATGCTCCAGCATTGGCTCTCGCTTGCCAGTGGTTTTTGAGGGCAACCCATGTGAAAGCAATGCAATTGGAGGTCACAGGGGAGCGGTACTCATTGCTCTAGTGAGGGGTAACTCTTAGAGGGTAAGGGGAAAATATCCATGTTAAAGGGTCTTTGCCACAATGCCATGCAAAACTTCTGCATCTGTTGATAGAGGGTAGGTAAACTCCTCTTAAAAGCTGATTAGCAGCTCTCTGTAGTATGCAGGCCTGCTTTTCTGTCTGCCATGATGATCATGTACAATTAGCTTGTATCTTCTCTCTCTCCTCCAAATATCTGGGTAAGCTGGATGCTAGCATGGCAATGACCAGTACTAATCCTAAACTGCATCTGTAGCCTAAGCAACTGTAGGCACAAATCTGCAACCTTCTTTCAGACCACCAATTCGGAAATAAGTGATGAGACAGCACTCTTGTGAGTCCAACTGAGTAAGCCACTGGGCAACTTCCCCATGTTCCCAAGGTCAGAACAAAGCACGTTCAGGACTGCTTGAAAATAGGCTGAATTTAGTGGGGGGACACTGGCTGTTTGCCCAGTGGCTTTCATTGCAGAAGGAGCCACACAAGGTATGCCCACCTTGTGCCCTGCAGCCTCCACGCACCATGCGGTGACAGTCCAGTGATGTGTGCTCTAAGAGCACCAAAGTTGCTGGCCATTGTGTAGTGATTCTTAGGCAAAACTGTGATGTGCTCAGTAATTAGTGTAAAATTTAGAAGTTAGTCATAACCACCATAGCCCTAGAGTGGACCTGGTTACATGGGGGTTAGGTGGTGGGACTTTTCTGGTGGTATGAGCTGATATTAGATGTGATCTTTTTTCACGGCCCTAGATGACTGGTAGCACTTGCAATTGTAGGCCAGAGCTGGGGGAGGTTTTACTGTGAGCTGCCTTAGAGGAACAGTGACCTTCTATGGTTTTCCCATTGCTGATTAGATACTTTTCTAAATGCTGCCTCCCTCTATTAATAAACAAGGACATAGCACTTATTTCCGTTAACTTGAAGCAGCAATGTTAATGTCTGATTAATCCTATGGCATACAGGTCATGCTTGTTAAAACTGAAAACCACAGATGATTATATTTGGAAGAGATTGCCATATCATGCCGAATTAGTATTAGAAGCATTGTTCTCAGTTTGAAGGCAGATTTTTTCCCTAAAATCGTGGATTTACAACCTTATGAATTCTTGTAGATCAAGATACTTATATAATTACATTTTGAAAACACTTCCATTTTTATGAATGACTTGCAATCCTTCAAAAGAATAAAGCCCATACTGCCTTAGACTTAGAAGAATAAACAAAAATTAGGAGGTTATTTACTGTTATTTACTGTTTCTGTAATCCCAAACATCTGTGATTAGGAAGCTTGGAAGTCTGTTTAGATAGATAGTTGAGAATTTGGTTTGGTTTGGTTTGTTTAGAAAGTATGCCAGCTATTTCAGATGTCCTGCCTATAAAGAATGTAAAACAATTTAGTTGTCCCAGGTCTGAATTTAATCTGAGTCACTGGCAGAAGTTCACTAAATTCAGTCCAGGGTTTTACTCAGATCTGCTATTTAGACCTAAAAAATGTTATCATAAAAATGTAGGCATGTTTGTTATGCAGGGAGTATAATGTCTTAATTGAAATGGAACCAGAAACTGTTTAAAAAACTTCTATTACATTTCACATGACAGACATTACTGTATAGTTTTAACATCTGTTGTAAGACCAATATGTGAGTTTTAGCCTTTGTCTGACTATAATTCTTTTGATTTCAGTGAAGTTGCACCCACTTAAATCCTGATTGAATTTGTCTCAGATGATTGGTTTTTTAATTGTATGATTTAATTTTCTTTATCTCCAACCCAGTGTTGCAGTATGGAGCTTCAGAGCATGTTAGAATAAGGTCAATAATGGATCCTTTCTTTTTCCTTTTTTATTTTCACAGTTACAGGGATCCATTAAAAGGAAACTGGAAGATGACAGCTCTCCTGCCTCCAGCGGCATGCCTGATGTCATTTTCCCAAATGACAGTAAAAGACTTTGTCTTGACGATGTAAACCTTGCCATGGGCCAAGGTGCCAATCCTAATGTGGCATGTCCAGAAATGCAAAGTTCTTCATTCCCCACTGGTCACAGTGCTTCCTCCCTGGGAGTCGCAGGTCATCCAGTGCTCCTTGAAAACAATCACATAAATGGTGGTGGCATTGGTTCCCCATTTTCAGTGCCGCCCAACACAGAAATAAATCAGAAGGGATCAATAGGAGGGCAAAACAATAATATTGTCCACTATGATGAGAAAGGAAACAGCTTACAGTCTGTGGACCAAGAGCTGCAAGATCTATTGGAAGAGCTGACAAAAATGCCTGATCCTTCTCCCAATGACCTGGACCTGGAGAAGATTTTGTGCAGCAAGGCTGAAGAGCCACTTGGGCTAAGTCATTCTCAGCCAAGCATAAGTACCACTCCAAAGTCCTCCCCACAGACCTCCCACTTGGAGAACCATGTTGCTAACAAAGATTTTTCTCCAGGTTGCAATCCGACCAGTGGAGGATCTCCTCAGATGAGACCATCATCTGCTGGAGCTAACTTCCAAGTTCCTTCCTCAAACAAACCTGTTGCATCACCCATCTCTACAGCAGCTCAGAGCAAGAACCAGCCACCACCTATGCTTCCAGTACCCTTACCTAACATACCTGGCTCCAACTGGCATGCTCAGCAGCTAAAGCAGCTGGCAGCTAGCAAGCAGGTGTCTACTACTAAGCAACAAGTACAGCCTCCTAGCTGGCCAACTATGTCTCCTCCTGGTCTCTCTCCACCTTACAGGGCAGGATCATCCCCACACCATCAACCTTTCAGTCCTCAAAATGTAATGGTGTCTGGCATGCCTGCTAATAATTTACCAGGAAACATTCAGAGTCCTCAAAACACCCTGCTTTCAAGCATGACTTCCAGCAGCACCCCATCTAATGGCCCCTCTCCTCCCTATGGGTCTGAGAAGCTCTCCAGCCCAGCTCTGAACCAGCAACCCTTCAGCCCACAGAGCTCCATGCTGCCCACCCTGACAGCAGCCAGCTTACCAGCCAACAGCATTAAAAGTCCACAGAACAACTTGGTTGCCAGCATGGCCTCCACAAATACTGGACCTTCTCCACCGTACAGGCCAGAAAAGCTGTCAAGCCCGGCACTGCATCAACAGCCCTTCAGTCCTCAAGGTACATTAATCTCTAACATCACTCCCACCAGCAACCCCACGAGTATGCAGAGCTCACTTTTTAAATCAATGACTACAAACCAGTCCAAAAATATGAACATGATTATGCAACAGCCATCCACTAGCTTACAGCCAGGTCTGGTGGCTGAGAGCCCTGTTAGCCAAGACCAGTTTTCTTTCAATAACACCAAACCACTGTCTCACTTTGCCTCAGAGTCAGCTACTCAAAAGATACCACCTCTGACAGCAGGACAAGGGCAGCAGTCCCTCATTCACTATCTCCAGCAGCAACAGCCGCAGCAGCAGCAGCCGTCTCCAGCCACACAGCAGCCCCAGCAGACTAACAACAGCCAGTTTCTGCAGCAGCAGTTTCGGCAGCTGATGCAGCCACATCGGATTCAGAGGCACATGCAGCCTGCCACATTGCCATCTCAAAGCAGACAGGTGAGAACATCTCTTCTGTATTACAGGGCTTGGGTGAAAATCCTGAGTTATTAGCTTTCTTACTTTTACTTTCCTTGGTGTTTCAAATGCAGTGGCGCTAAATTTCTGGAGTGTGCACAGTGTATGCATGGACAAGGCAATAACAATGTTCTGGTGTTATCAGAGTAACTTTATTTATTTCTTCAGTTGAAATATCCCGTAATTGCACTCTGCATTGTCTCTTATAGCCAAGTGGAGAACTTTTGTGCTATTAGGCAAAACACATTTCATGCCATTAAAATAAATTATTTTTATGTGTATAGGTGGTTGTGCTGGTTTTGTCTGGGATAGAGTTAATTTTCTTCCTAGAGCTAGCATGGAGCTATGTTCTGTATGTATTCTTAGCTTATATTGTAAGCTGTAGAGATGTTCCTGTAACATGTTTCTCATCATCTTTTAGTGGAAGTATCTTTTCTTAATGTCCTTCAAGAAACTGATCTATGTGTTATGCTTCTGAGGCTAGAAAACATAAGGTGGGGTGAGAAGCAAAGTTAAAATATGACTCCATGTACAGCTGGTTGAACAGTACAGCTCCTGAATAGCAGAGGTAGACTTGAAATACCTGTTGCTAGCACTTGCCACGAGCAATGCCCTACTTTGGATGAGGGCCATTCCCCACCTTCTGTTGATCTGTGATACCAACCAAGCTGGTAAATGCAGAAATGCAGCTGGCAGCAGTGAGACACAGCCCTCATTTCTCTCCAGGAACTTCCGCCTGAGACTCAAGGAGAGGCACAAAGTACCATCCCCTACACCACCCGCCGGAGATTCACTGTGAATGTGGACTTCAGGGCAAGGAAGGACTTGGGGGCTTGGTCTGAGAGCAGCCTGGGTGTGAGGAATAAATAGCTATCTTCTTGCGATCAAGAATAGTAGGAAGCATTGAACCTCACCACCAAAGCCACATACCTTATTAGGCTGAATCAGCTTTGGAAGCAGAATCCTTCAAGTTGCTTAGTTGTGCACACAGGCACTCCACCAACTCCTCATGAAGGATTGAAACACTTCTCACCCAGCAAAAGAGAGCTTGATTTCTGAAGCTGTGCTAGGATTTGCTGGGGAGTGTGGAGCTTAGCTGGGGAATATGCTCCAGAGCCTGGATTATTTTGCTCTTCCTCTCTGCTAAGTGACTGGTTCTTACAGAGGTGGATTTCTTCAGTGTAGGTGACTTGGTGTAACCTGTCTTATGGTAGCAATGAGAAATAAGGGGATAATTACTAAAAGCCAGCTTCTTTGTAGTAAATCAATGAGGTGTATTCTCATTGTGTCACTTCAGGATCAAGTCACTCTTTTCCAAGTTGTGCACACTTAGTACTCAGTATTTCAATGCAACAGCTTAAAACAGACAACTGGGCAGGACTGGTGACTTGCCAAATTTACTTACCAAATACGTAACGTGTAACAATATGGCATGGATAGTTCACTTTAAAGGGTTATCAATATAACCCTAATTCAACAAAGGCCTGAAGCAATTATGTTGCTATAAGCATATGAAGACCCTGTTTGTGTGCAGTGGGGCCCAAATTAAACACAAAGCAGAGGGTCTTGCTGGCTTGGGATCTAGGAGTATGGGTGGGCAGTGAGATTGAAATGAGTAAATGGCTGCAGCTTCATGAATTACAGCCTATCAGATGGTTTGCTCTGGAGGCAGTGTGGGTGCTTTACTGCATCTCGGATGATGGCTAGTAAGTTGTTAACTGCAGTAACATGATCGCTTTTGATTGTGTGTCCATAACCTTTGAGCATATTTCTTTTTTCTGGCTCTGCTGCTGGGTGGAATTGCCACATCCCTGTTGGATTCCTGAGGTTTCCTGTGCCCTAGTTTTCCCTGCTTTGCATTTTGCATTTTTGTCTTACACCTCTGATCCCCCTACATCACTGATCTGCCAGAAAAGAAGGAGAAAAATTCCTGGACTGAGTCTCTTTAATTGGCCAGAATAGTCCCTCTTCCAGCAACTTTCCTAGTGCTCTGCCTGTGCTGTGTTTTAGCTGATTCTCCCATTGGAGAGAGTTGTTAGAATCCGGTGGCTATTAGTAAAGATCAAGGACAGTTAAGGCAATGATTACAGGTGATGAGCATTTTACATTTTCAGACTAGTTACATAAGCTTATGGTGCCTCCGTCATTTTACAAGGAACACTTATATTGCAATAATTACACACCAGATGACAGTGCTTCAGTTGTACAGTCTGTTGAGCTGTGGAAGAAAGATGGTGGATGTTGAGGAGTGGAGCATTTCATTAGGTTTTGATAACTTTACTGCAAATCTTGTAGAAGTAAATGGACCCTGAGTGATGAATTAAAAGAAAAATGACATAGAAAAAATACTTTAGGTGGGAAACCTTAAAATTCTGGGGTACTTGCTATGTTTCTTTGATTCTAGCATGTTGATCTGTTACTTGTCTGCAATAGATTTCTTATTTTCATTGAGACACTGATACTGAAATTTTGGACCTGACCTGCTGTGCACCAGTTTCACTCCATTGTAGCAAAGTAGCTCCAGTGACTGTGGTTTTGATTTCCAGCAGTGTACCCAGAGCTGAATTTGAGCTTTTCAGCATCTCCAGTGACGCAGATTCCTTCCTAAGGCAGGTGATGAATGTGACTTCTCAAGCATGGAGCAGTTGTTTCATTAAAAGGCAGTATGTTAAAGGTTCAGAAGACAGGGGACACAACTTCAGCATCTTCAAAAATTAGTAACCTTCTGGTGGAAAGTTGCCTTTTTTAGCCTCATTCACAGAAATTCACTCAATGAAAACCAGCAGCATTCCTTGGAATGTTGTTTAGTGTTTAGAAGTCATCCCCTTGCTCTGTGTGTGTGTGTTTGTAAATGTGACTAACATCTATAAAAAGAAGGCATAGTGCTTTCTTCTTTTGAGCAAGAGGTGCAGCTTTGTGCGGGAGCAGAATGTGGATGGTGGCCAGTTGGAGGGAGAACAATAAACCATGAAATCTGATCCTTGTAGCAGGCAGAGCAACATGGGGAAGAGAGCAGCGCTGGGACACAGCCCTGGAGTGAGATTTTTGCTGTTGTTTCAGTGCATATTAAAGCAAAGACTCTGCTTTCCAAAAGCTGGGTTACTACCCACAGCTCTACCACTTCTGTACCTCATGATACATCTCTTAAGCGTAATCAGTGTGCATCCCTGATCCTGTATTGCCTGGACAACTGGTAAATCTGATAAGGGCTAATCTTTTCCCATCCGAAGCACTATGTCTTTATTCTTGAGCATTGACAGATATTGATTGAGGCACTGACGGGTTGCACTGTGTGATATTGCAAAGCCTGGTGGTGCTAACATTGCTCTTGTGGATGTGTACAGGTTTTCATTTTACTCATGTAGGACTGATGCTTGCAGAGTGAAATTATACTCAAAGGTCTGGACTCATAAATCCACAATGTAAAGACAGTAGTAAATGCCAGAGAGTCAAAGACAGTCTCCAAAACTATCACACACTGTTTTCTGGGCTTAAGCTTAGCCACTTGACTTTATTGGCTGTTTCTGGGGGAATGAAAAACTGCATTTGCCCAAGCAGGTTGAATAGTTGGGCATCTCCCAGATTTTCCTGACTAAATACAGTTCGGACTTGAAGATCTGTTCTGGCATGTCAGATACATTGAGCCCAATTCTGCCTTCAGCAATGCTGATACCGTATCACCATTTCCAGAAGAGCTCTTCTTTTACTCTCACCAATATACGAACAGACAGAGGTCTTTGTGAACGGGAAGGAGGGTTCCCCTGAGGGCAGGAAAACGAACCAGTAATCTTTGCAGTTTAAGTCAGTGGAATAAAAGAAGCCCTTTGGGTGGCTGTTACTTTTCCAAGCCCAAGTTTGTCCAAGTTAAAACCTGAGAGACTCAGGGAGGAGGGACAGTCCTGCCCACTGCCCTGTGTGTAAGATGTTGGAAACTGAAACACAACTTAAAAGGTTGTTTTGTTGGGGAGACGTAGCTAATAAATAGCCATTGTTTGGGTGAGACACACAGTGCATTTCTGAGCTTCGCTTGTGCTGTAGGAACTGAATGTGCTATTCTTAAA